TCGTCTCACTAAGAACTGCAGATTGTAAGTACAACTGTCATACAAGAATGGATAGACAGTTAATTTGTCTGTGTTTCTCTTCCTCCACCACAGCTGTAGTTTTCTCAGAAAACAGTAAAAACATTGTAATTTTTACAGCTTGTAAATTTAAAAAATTGGATGAATTATTTCTGGTTTATGCAGTTAGATTCAGGAGTGTGTTCTGTGTGTTTTACAGGATCTGGATGCTGCTTTGCCTATCATAGAGAAATACAAAGACCAACTTGTTGCCATTGGGGAGGTAAAGATTGAGCATCTTTGATTCACCTTCATTGGTTTTCTTTATTAACTACAATGATATTACAGCTTGTTTGCCATTGTAGGTTGGTTTGGATTTTACACCCCGATATGTCAGAAGCGACACCGATAAGGAGAATCAAAGGCTGGTCCTGATTCGTCAAGCACAGATAGCCAAGGAGCTGGACCTCCCTCTGTGAGTCTTATTATTAAGGCTATTCTCTGAAATTCATGTGGTACATTTATTAGCATTTTTTAAGCAAAGACTAATTAAGAGCTTTCCTGGGAGGTGTAGCAATATATACAGTACAAATATTAATGTGTATTGTTTTTGGGTTGGGTTTTTTTTTTGTTGTTGTTGTTTTTAATAGAAGAAGAGTCTTTCAGCCACTCCCTTATTCAGAAAGGGTCTGCACAGTAGATAGCTTTGCATATTTGATTTGGTAGATATTAATGCCAGATTCCCTTCGCAACACAACCCTAAATGGATCTGTGTCTCCTCCTGGTATCAAAACAGGGACGATCCATACATTGGGCAAATGTGTAAACTACAATTAAAGTGTGAAAACCTAAATAAGACAGAGAAGAACTCCATAAGAAAACAAACATTTGCAGAAATTAAAGCGATCAAAATCTAAGGTTTATGAGACAAGGACCGCCACAGTATATTACAGAATCCTTCTATAATACATTGTGTTTGATCATTTGTTTTCTTTTATTTTTGGCTTTAGAAATGTTCATTCAAGGTCTGCAGGAAGACCCACCATCCAGCTCCTGAAGGAGCAAGGTGAACACCTAAGTTTATTCTGTCTGTTTGCATGTGAGTGAACAGTTTTCTTGAGTGTTTGACAAATAAACTGCAGTTCCTTTGTATTGCCACTAGGTGTCAGAAAAGTCCTTCTTCATGCTTTTGATGGGAAACCGTCTGTTGCTATGGAGGGAGTGAAGGCCGGCTATTTCTTCTCTATCCCTCCATCCATAATAAGGAGTGAGCAGGTACAGCCGAGCATGCAGTCAGCTTATCTGTCATTTGTGTGTAAACAGACCAAACTAGTTTATTTAATTGACACAGGTAACAGTTGTATGTGAGTATTTACACTCCCCACACGGCACTGGCATGTTGACTTTGTTTTCATTGGTTGACTTTATCACATTGAGCATTAATGATTTATGGTGATCTGTGTGTGTATTTTCCACCAAGAAGCAGAAACTTGTGAAACAGCTGCCGTTAGAGAACATCTGTCTAGAAACTGATTCTCCAGCTCTCGGCCCAGAAAAACAGGTTGAGTATTTAAAAATTTCTTATATTATCTTTGTTTGGGAGGAGTAATTTAATATTTTCTTTATGTATTACAAAGAAAATTGTATAATAAATGTTCTAGTTTCTAGATAAGATAGATAAGATAAGATAGATAAGATACCTTTATTAGTCCCACAAGGGGAAATTTCATGAAATTTCCCTTTAATTACAACTAGTTTGTTGTAATTAATATAGTTGATAATATGATAACTATAAGAATCAATACAACAATTGTCCCTTGTCCTGACTGCAGGTGAGAAATGAGCCAAAAAACATCTGTGTGTCTGCCGAGTACATCAGTAAGATCAAAGGAGTGTCGCTGGAGAAGGTGATGGAGGTGACGACACAAAACGCTCTCCAACTCTTTCCGAAGCTGAAGGCTGCCATCAGACCTTGACAGAGAGCACGAAGAATAGTTTATCTATCAAAAAAGGATTTGCCAAGGAAAAATTATATATATGATGGAAACAAAATGCCCTACGGTGTAAAAAGCAAAACAAAAACATGAGAAAATAAAGACGAGTTTACAAACTCGCATCCAAGTTGTGCTTTTTTTGTGCATTTGACACATCTGAAATTCCTGCCACTGACATCCTGCATGCCAGTTTTATATCCCAGCACAAGCAGAGCAGTAGCAGTTATTTCCTGGATCACTTTTTCAAATTAAAAGGCAATTCATTGTTAACTTCATGACAGCTGATGCTACCACACTCTGATGGCAAACTTCACAGCTGCATGGGGGTAGTGTTGCCTTCACGTGCACCTCATAATTTTCAGCATTTTCACTTTTGAGCTCTGAAGTTGTTGTTTTTTAAACCACTTATGAAACTAAATTTCATTCTTGGTTTTTTACAAAAGAACAAATTGAACTCAGTGGTCAGTTTACACTAGTGGTACACTAAGCTAGTTTAATACCACAAGACTGTAATCAATTCTGCTTTCAGACTAAATAATAGAATTATGTCTGCTGCTTTTGTGTTTGCACATCTTAGATTTAGGAAATCAGTGAATTGATTTGATTTGTTTGAGTTGTGAGATAGATAAGATTCAGCTGAGTTGTACTGACATGCCATCTGGAGAAACTAGTTCAGGGCTATCTCTAGCAGATTAGATCTCTGTAATGGACTTTTGTCCAGTCTTTCTAAGACAGTGATAAAAAAAGCTTCAACTTATCCAGAACGCAGCTGCTAGAGTCTTAAAGACTAAAAGAGCTGAATGTAATCCAGCCAAGCAGTTCTCAGATTACTGCACAGGTTCATTTTGTCTGCCAGAGAATACATTCTAAAAATATTATTGCTTATTCATAAACTTTTAAATGCTTTTACCCACAGTATATTGTAGATATGCTGATCTCAGACTGGCAGATTCTGAGTTACTCTAAAATGAAACTGAATACCTTTCAAGTAAAGTTTCTTTACCTTCTATCAAACTTTAAGAAAACATTGTATTGCATCATGATTAAATGATATAAAAAAACATTCCTTTTGTCTATGTTGAAATTAGAGGCATTTCCAGATTTAAAAAAAAAAAAAGGGGGGGGGTCATGGGGGACCACGAGGCGCAGAGGCAGATGTGCATTGTGTTCCCCTGTGTTCTGAAATACAATTTCAGGCTCATGTGCATATCATGTGTCCTATCACAGATTTTTTAGGTAAAAAGTGGTGTTGGACAAGAATTTCAAGACACTTATTTTGGGAAAGTAGAAAAGGCATTTATACCTTAACTGCTGACAGGTTGTATATTTAAAATATATTTAAAGCATCTACAGTAAATGTACTCATCATGTGGGATGAAACTTTTCAGAATCATATAACCAAGCATGATGTTATTGTATCATAATTATTGACTTGTTTATATATATATCTCTTTAATGTCAGGGATGCTACTACTTTTAATTGCTTATCTAATGTTCAGTAGCTCAATTAATAATAAAAGCTGCTTTAAGCTACTCCCTTTTCCCCAAGTGACACCACAACGGATTGCTCTGCATGTTTGATCTGGCTGTATTTCCCGCTGCATCCTCTTCCTATAGCAACTCCAAAGTGAATTATGTGTATTCTTGTTATTGAACTGGAAGTATTTCACTTGTTAGACGAATGTGTAAACCGCCACGTGATCTACAATCCCCCGCACCCCCATCTTCTAGACACACCCCTGCTTGTAAGCAAGGTTATCAGAGTTAACTAAAACTAAACAAAAAAATAAACCTAGACCTGGAAAACAAAAGTGTCAGCTGCCTAATTAAAAAAAATTGACCTTTTAAAAAAAAACTAACTGAAACATTTTTGTGAACTTCAAAAACTAGCTAAAATAAAATTTAAAAAAAATATCGAGAAATAACCTTTAAATATTGTGTTTATTAATTTGGTTTAAAAAAAAAAGAAAGAAAGAAATTTATAAATATATCAAATATTACAATAGTACATTGTCTATTATTTTGCTCTCTTGTACTACTACTACTATTATTGTTGTTGTTGTAAATTGTGGAAATTACTGAGTCGCCTCTGGTACACCTTTGGGGCAAATACGGATCTACCTTATCTAAATAAATTAATAAATAACCATTTACTTTGAGCGTTGTACTACTTCTCGTGGCCATAGTAACCTTACATCGAACGTTAGAGAGCGCATGTCCAGCACATGGTCTGGCAGAAAGCCTTCTCCCCCATGTGTCCTTTTTTCTTTTCTTTCTTGCTAGTTGCTCGTGAACACCTCAAGTGTCCACATCTCGCACCGCCCCATTGGAGGACACGCCAATCGGTCGCGTGCTGACGTGTGAGGGGCGACTGACAGTTTGTCCAGCCAGTAAGGGTGTATGTTGATGTCTGGACCCCGCGGCTGAAGTTGCCTCATTGGCCTGTGTTTGTTAAACTTCTTCCGAGGGAGCCTCGGCCAGAATCGGCACGTACTCCAGCGCGTCGCCCGCCTTTTTC